ATAAAATTTTTTAAAAAGGATATTTTAAAGTTTCAACTTGTATAAATTGCATTTAAAAATGTATGGATAGAACACTATCATAAAAGAATAAAATATATTTTACAGCAGTCTGAAGTTAGCATTCCACATAAAAGCAGCACAGCAGACCAATAAGGCAAGAATATAGACTGACGTGGCACAGAATGCTGTAGCTAAGAATTTTTAAGCAAACCCAAAGTACATTAATTACCAAATTTTACAGAGCATAATCTAGTGACATAAAAGTCAATATAAAGGTTGAGTTAATAATATGCTGGGTATTGTGTATGTGTAAAGAGTTTAGTACTTTTTCAGCACTTAAAAAAGACATTAATCTTCATGCATTAGATCCATGGCATATTAATCTGGCTAAAAAAAAAAATCCCAATGCCTCACTTCACAGACAAACTCCCATGAATTAGATCAAAAGGCCTCCTGTGAACTAGGTGTAGTGGTGCACACCTATAATCCCAGCATGTGGGCAGTTGAGGTAGGAGGGTTACTGCAAATTTGAGGCCAGCCTGGGCCACATAGCAAGACTCTATCTTGAAATAAACAGAACAAAACAAACAAAATAATGACTTCCTATCCTTAAAATTATTATAGGTATTAATCTGCAACAAAATGACAAAACAAGAACTTTGAAGCATCAAAGCAAAAACACTAGAAAAGAGAAATATTTCTGTTAAAAGTTACATAATTTAATCAAGAAGAAACATTGAATAAATCCAAAAATGAAGTGCTTTCTAGAAATCAACTGTGCTATTGAAAAATATCCACATCATGAGGGGCCAGTGAGATGGCTCAGGAGGTCAAGTGTTTGCCATACAACCTGAGTTAGACCTGCAGAACCCACACAAAGGTGGAAAGAGAGAAGCAACTCCAAAGTGTTGTCCTCTGACCTCCACACATGTATTGTGGCATATGTGCCCACATACACATCACACACACACACACACACACACACACACACACAATAGAGTGATAAAAATATGCGTCATAAAAGCTGAAGAAAAGCAAGTAACTGCTGTCGACTAAAAGAGAAGACAACCACAGGTAGCTCTCAAACCTGAGCTGGATGCTGACCCAAAGCACACACTGTATCTACACCAAGACTGGAATCAGACTGCAGACTACAGAAAGGAATCACATCAACACTGATTTCCCAATTGTGATCACTGAATTGAGGGAATGGAAGAAAATGTTCTTAGGAAATACACACTGAGGAAATTCAGCACTAATGTTTCCAACTTGCTCTGAAATGGCTCACAAAACACATGAGAGGGAACACTGCGGCAAGTGGAGAAGTGCTAACGGGGATTCCAGTGCGGTTTTCAGCCCCTTCTTGTAGCTTGTCTATAGGTTTGAAATCATTTCAAAACAAAAAGAGGAACTGTTCTTAAACTTGTAATGAGAACACTAAAAACTCAAAGCCTTTATAATATTTAAACTTCCTATCTGAAGGAACCATTTTTGCCTAAATATTTTATGAAATTAGACCAAAAAAAAGAACAAATGTAATTTTCATCCAATTCAATGCCCTGCTTCTGGAAATTATAACATTGCGTTTTTTTTTCTAAGAGAAAAAATTTTTTCACTTTGTATTGTATGTGTGTGCGCACGTGCACCCATGTGTACAGCATAGCAGGCCTGTGGCAGTCAGAGAACAACTTTCGGAAGCCAGCTGTCACCTTTCACCTTGCTGAGGAAGGGTCTCCTTGTTGCCTCGCCTGTGCCAGGGGCTCCAAACTAGCTGACCCAAGAGTGTCCAGGTGAGTCTCCTGTCTCTGCTTCTCAGGTTACAGACGCTGCCACTGCACCCAGCTTTTTAACTTGGGTTCCAGGGAGCAAACTCAGGTCTTCAGGCTTTCACAGCTAGAGTTTTTATCTACTGAGGCATGTCCCCAGCCCATGTGTTGCTTTTGTTGTTCTATCAATTGTATGTATAATCCAGAACTATAAATATGTGCAAGAAAAGTATCTATTCAGTCCACATACTCATTTGAAACACATTTAAAATGTTGCTTTCTACAGTTACTTTGTTTTCTTCCCATGATCCCTTAATGATTTCTTTTCTGTCTGCTACCTGATTTGGAGTGTGTTTTGAAGTCTGAAATAGAGAATGCTGTCAGTTTAATAGTGCCCTGATACACACATACAGCAAGAACCTTACCCCATCGTCACATTACAAACACTGCAGTTTGTTGAGTCACATATAATTATTCCACAATGTGATTTACTATTCAATCTAACCTAGTAATTGTGCTTTTCAAAAGTTTACTGAGTAGGATGGAAGAAGACAGGATGTTAATTGCCTCCAACATTACTGAGCACGTAGGAGGCACAAAATCATATTTGTGTGGGGGGGGGAAGGTTACTGAAAAATCCTCTATCACTTGCAATATATTTGTGCTGGTTAGTATTTGTCAATTTGACACAAACTGGGAAGAGGGGACCTCAGTTGAGGAATTTCCTCTATCAGACTGGACTATGGCCATGTCTGTGAAGCATTTTCTTTAAGTGGCAACTGATGCAGAAGGGCTCAGCCCACCATGGGTAGTGTTATTCCTGGGCAGGTGGACCTAGGATGTATAATGCAGATGACTGAGTAAGCCAGGGGAAGCAAGTGGTAAGGAGCATTCCTCTATGGTTCCTGCCTTGAGTTCCTGCACTGACTTCTCTCAGTGATGGATTGCCACCTGGTTGTTGTAAAATGAAATAATCCCCTTCTTTGCCAAATTGCTTTTGGTCAAAGTTTTATCACAACAGAAAGCTAACAAGGACGATATTATCAGAGAACATGAAGTAACAACATTACTAGATGCATAAAAAGCTAAGCATGGAAAAAAGGCTTTAGAAAACCTACAGATCTGGAGCAACAAACACTTCCGGTGAAAAAGACCTTCTTATGTTCATTTTGGCATTGGCATTTCTGTAAGTCACAACTATGGGGGATTTTTTAAATATCTAATTACTAATACACTGAAAATTATTTCAGCTTGCATATGATATAATTTATCAAGTTATCAAGCTATAAAGCCATGAAAAATAAAAACAGCCAGAATTTTAGTGATTGTCAGTGAATGCAACTGAAAACTGCTGGTATCCGTATTTCTTGGTATACAGATTTCAAATGCAGATGCAATTCAAGTTCTATTTGATTCAAGCCCTAGCTCACTTGCTGAAAGTTACGATGACTTAGGAGAAATTCAAAAGGAGATGTAGTCAAAGGAAACAGCACAAAGACCTTCAAATACTTTTGTCTCTTAAAATGAAACCATCATTTAGCACTTTATTTACAACACAAATTGACAGTTTAAAATAAATTAACTCTAAAGGATACCAAACTAAATCTAAAGATTAGACACGCTTTGAATACACTAGTGTAGGGCACAAAATAGTTCAACAATTCATTTTCGCTTTTATTAATGTTAGTCATAATTCCTATTTTAAGATATTCTACAACTCAAAGGGGAAAGTACTACAGCTTCAGGAGGGAGTATAAGTTAAATGAATGTAAATTTCAGGAATACAACTTAAAATATTTTTCATAAGACAGGTATTTAATAAATGTGTCTTATACTATGTTACCAAAGTAGCTAAGTCCCTGAAAAATTCTTCCATAGAAAATTCAAGATGAAAACAGATCAAGTAGCACAAGAGCATAATAAACATCCACTCTTTAAGAGTTGGTGATGTAATATACACTGCTCCTTAGAGCACTCAGCAGCAGAGGAAACAGAGGACGATATAACAAAAGATAGCACCTTTGAAAAAAATCAAGTCATTGATAACAAATGTGCACAAAGATATGTTCTGAACTCCAAATTGCTACATGAAAAATTTATAGAGGAGATGGTTACATACAAGCATGCTGTTACATGTGGATTGTGAATATAAACAACACAACATTCAAAGCCACAATTGCACCTTCACAGCTACAGTGGGTAAAAGGTTCCTTTTCTGATCACATCCTTATTCTTCCTAAAATCAATCAGTAAGTCAGCATATTTTAACATAAGAAGGGAAAAACTAAAGAGTCTATTTAATTAGAGCAGTAGTGAAGTCTGTTCATTGCATTTCTACTAGACATGAGGTCAGGGGCTTTACTGTAAGACTTCTTGCTTCTCAATACGATTCAGAATAATAAAATGGGTCTACTTCTGACCACAGTTAGAAACTTCTAGCTATGTAAGTACCACAGGTTTATAATAACATAATTTTATAAGACAACGCCACAGTATAGAGGGGCCATTCTCAACCAAGTATCAGAAAGCAGTACTATGATGGGACAATTTTTTTAACCATGGGCCAGCAGTTTTCCTAACCTCCTAAAATCCATAGTTAAAAGGTTGTCCTCGAGCAGTTAACTCACATAAAAAAATTCTACTTGATAAATACTTTCTGTAAACATCTTCAGAATATTTTTCTGAGCTGGGGATGCAGCTCAGTGACTGAGCACTGGCCTAGCGTGCACAAGGTCCCTTGGCTGAATCTCCAGTGCTCCCCCATCCTTCCCCAAAGAAAAGGTTTTCCAATTGGAACATTTACTTGAACACTTTTTTAATGTTGTTACTTTAAGTAAAAGCTTGTCAAAAAAAAATTATGTCCACTCTTTCAAATGTTGATATTAATTTTAAATGCTGCCTTACAACTTGAAAAAATAGGTTGTGGGCTCTAATACATTATTAATAAGCTGTTAAAATTTTGTGATTGCTTTCATTTATAAATAGGATATGAATGTCATCAGCAGCTATGCTAACTTATTAAACTAATTTCTAACTATTGATTTTAAAAGCCTTGAACATATGTCACAAAGGAAAAAATTAGTGATGGTAATAAAAAGGTTTTTTTCCCAAATAATAGATCCAATTATTTTCTAAATGATCCACCCCACGCGTCATAAGTAGACATGGCACAACATGAAAAATGCCGGCAACCACCATATGCTTCACTTATATTTCAAGAAACAATACAATCCATGGTGGTTCATGAAGTTGTTTATTCTTGTTATTAAAACTTGGACTCAGGTAATCTGGTTATTCTGGAAAAGCACCTTGTCTGCAGGGATGAGTTAATCGTCCTTTTCTACAATCACCTCTCCATGAAGCACCTTTCTTCTTTGACGCAACATATGAAAATAGAGTTGTGGAAACACTGAATTGGAAAAAGAAAACAAAGAAAGATAAGCTATTGCTTTAAATTATTTATTCTTGAAACCTGTAAAATGTGAAAATTAAGTACTTTCTAGAACATTACTATTAACCTCCCCTGACCCCATGTTTAGAGTTCAGGTTCAATAGTCTAATACATAAACTGTTGGAGTTTTGGTTTTGCTGGTTTAAATACCTTAGTAAATGTATCTCCATAAGGACCTAGATGGCCATATTTGAATGGAGAATTCAGTGACACTTTGAAATTCTACAGCCGAACAAAGACAGCAGGCCCACGCTGCCTCCTTCTGTTCTGTTCACTGCCTCCTGCTCCGTGAGTGCGCACATGCACATGTAGGTGGACATGACACATTCACGCATCATCCATATCCCCCATGAATAGCTGCCCTAGGATCTCAGGGGTACATAAACTGGACCTGAGCCATGGTCCTGGGTGTGATGCCTAGGGAAGAGCCAGAACAGGGTCTGCTAAACAGGCCCCAGATCAGACACTCCCCACAGTTCAGCATAAGGGCTTCTGTTATGAAGGCACACAGATGAGCACATGGATCATCCCAGCTGGAGAAAGGGGTCATCTGAGCGATTGGAACCGATGCTTTCAATCATAGTATAAAGGCTGGGGGCTGAATAAATGCACACCAGCTATAAACTACAAATGTGAAAATATCTCAGAATAACCAAACCAGAACTGTTATCCTGTCAATGTGGAGTTCGGACTCTAAATTTTCTTCTTCTCCTTTTTCTTCCCAACTGACATCAGGCTCTAATTTTGAGAAGGATGAATGATAATCTTGCTTTCTTCCCTTATTTCCTGTTAGTGACTACAAAATTTGATCTAAAAATATATCACTATTAGTACCTAAGTTAAAGTCCCACCAATTCATTGAAGTTATTGAAAAATGATGGGAAATTAGTGAAGAGCTGCATTATTCCAAACATTTTAAGAAAAACAGCTTTATTATTTTCAAGTACATGTAACAACACAAGTCAGAGTAAAAGGTTCTCATGATAAACCTCCAGGTATGCCCAATGGATAGAGATGATCTTAAGTCTTCCTGACAGAATGTTTATCAAATGCTTGCAAACAGTTCCATTGATACCCACTTTTCAAATGATGTCTTTTTTCCCTTTTAGTCATACTAAGAGTATTTGTAAATGCTTTGGATAAAGCAATCACTTATATATTAATTTTCTTAACATTTTCTCATAATCAATAAAAGTTCTGACTCACTTCCCATCAATTATTCTAAATTACGAATAAATGTGGGCTCAGAGAGAAGTTTTAATGTATTTACTTACATGGTATATATGAGGCCATGGTTATAAGAAGAAAATAATAGTAGTCAAAAGAGACATTGTATTTGTTAGGAAGTCTTATTGAAAACATTCCTGATTTCTTCACATAAGGCAAGGCAGCATATATTGTAAGAAGTTCCCCAGCAACTCCAACAGGATATAAGATAATAAAAAAGTTATATCTGAAGAAAGAAAAACCTCAGATCAGTATTTTCTAGAATAATTACCCATTTTATAGCAGTTATTACTATTATGTTTAAATTTAGAAATCTATCCTTTCTACATGCATTTATAATATCACACTCAGGCTTTGCTGCTTTAATCATGCACTTGTTAATCATTCTCTCTATTAGCAATTCCCATTCTAAATGGCAAAATCTGAAGTCAGTTTAAAGTATTAGCATTTTTTATATTTAAAAATGTATGTGTGAAGTGTTTTAGTTTTGAGATGTGGCTTTACGTGGGCCAGGTTGGTTTTGAACTTCTGGCCTCATGTGATCCTCCTGCCTCAGCCTGCAAGTAGCTTTAACTACCAGCATGTGCCACCATGTCTAGCTACACAGTTCTTTTTGTTTTGCTCATTTTCTTTCGTGTTATAAAAGTAGCTTTTCTGGGGCATGCACTCATAACTGCTCTTCTTTTCCCTGTAGCTGGTCATTTACTGATGAGTGCCATGCCTACGAAAGACCAGTTATGACCCTCATTTTACAGCTTAACCTTAAAGTGTCTTAAGCAGTCAGGGATTAAAGGCTTGTGCCACCACACCTGATTCAAATGATTGGGGGTTTGGATAGAATTTTCTCAGCTCTGCTTCAAACAAGCTAACTCCATTTATGTAATCTGTCTAATTTGTTTGTTAGGAGCAGTTAGAGATGAAGTACTAATTACTAGTGACTGATGTTTTAAGTAGTGTTTGTCAGTTTTCTCCGGTAGTAATTACTTTTAATCAGTAACCAGTTTTCCAAATAAATTAACTGCTTAAGACCACACACACACACACACACACACACAATTTCCATTCATTCCCTTGAACTGTAGTGAGTTCTTAACATGGTGTAGTCCAGGCCTACACACAACACACACACACACACACACACACACACACAATTTCCATTCATTCCCTTGAACTGTAGTGAGTTCTTAACATGGTGTAGTCCAGGCCTACACACAACACACACACACACACACACACACACACACAATTTCCATTCATTCCCTTGAACTGTAGTGAGTTCTTAACATGGTGTAGTCCAGGCCTACACACAACACACACACACACACACGCACACACACACACAATTTCCTTTTATTCCCTTGAACTGTAGTGAGTTCTTAACATGGTCCAGGCCTACACACACACACACACACACACACACACACACACACTAATTTCCATTCATTCCCTTAAATTGTAGTGAGTTCTTAACATGGTGTAGTCCAGGCCTCTTGTGTCTCCAGTGAGAGACACCCTGTATCCAATAGAAAAGCCTAAAGGATTCAATGCTATGACATATCTCCATCAAAGAAAATCATTTTGGAGGGCTGGAGAGATGGCTCAGCAGTTAAGAGCACTGATTGCTCTTGCAGAGGATCTGGGATGGCCACATGGTGCCTTTAACAACCATCCATAACTCCAGTTCCAAGGGAATCCAATGCTCTCTTCTGGTACACTTACATACATGCAGGGAATACATTCATACACATAAAATAAGTAAATACATACATACATACATACATACATACATACATACATACATACATACATACATAAATAAATAAATTTTTTGAGACAGGGTCTCCCTGCAGCCCCAGCTGGCCTGGAACTTGCTATATAGACCAGGTTGGCCTTGAACTCACAGAGACCCACCTGCCTCTACCTCCCAAGTACTGGGATTAAAAGTGTTCACCAGAGGTCCAGAAGACTATCATTTGAAATGGAAATGGCACTGTCACACCTTCTAAGATTAGATCCAATTACATGAACTACCTGATCCCTAAACATAAATACATTTTCATGTACAACAATAAAACCAACCAAACACATGTAAGTAATAGTGCAACTTTCTTATGACACACAAAAATAAAGAGTGAAGTTATAACTTTATGAGACTGACTCACTACCTACTGCACTAACGAGGCACTGAAGAACCAAGTTATAGTTTTAAAGCTTTTGTTGGTCTTTTTGAGACAGGGTCTCCCTGTAGCCCCAATTGGCACTCACTATACAGACCAGGTTGGCCTTAATCTCACAAAGATCTGCCTGTCTCTGCTAGGACCAAAGGCATATTTCACCATGCCCGGCTTAAGGAATTATATGCAAAATGGTAAGCCACAAATGTCTATAAAGGAGCTAAGATAATATTTTTAAAACCTAAGACTATAAAATATAACTAACTGACAGAGACATCCTAGTATAAAGGGGATTATAAATAATTTTTAAAGTTTTATTTCCTTTGTTTTGATTTCTGTATTCTAATTTATTATGTTTGAACATGTATAATACAATAACAAGAGTCATCATGTAAGAAAATGTTAATCTTTCAATATATGGGGAGCAAATCTGAAAGTATCTAGGGATTTAAGCATGTATTAACACAAACATCAGAATTTTTAAAAACTATAAAGATATGGCATTGTTTATATCTCACGGCATTATTTATAATATCAGAAGACTGGGAAAAATCTAAATTCTGGCAGCAGACTATGAAATTCTGGCAGCAGACTACAAAAACTGGCACAGCATCAGGGTATGAGAGTTGAAGCACTAGACTGAAATGCACCTGTGATTTGAAAAGTTCAAAGAGGGGCTGGAGAAATGACTCATGGTTAGGTGGTTAAGAGAACTTGCTGCTCTTGCAAAGGACTAGAGTTTGGTTCCCAACACCCATGTCAGGTGGCTTACAGCTGTCTGTAAGTCCAGCTGCAGAGGATCTGATGGTGTCCCCTGGCATCTGCACTCACATGCACATACTCATACTCAGAAGCATAATTAAAAATACAATAAATCTTAAAAAATTAAAGGTACGAAAGAGCCCCAATATTTAAACAAAAAGGAAACACAGTGCGCGCGCATGCGCGCGCGCACACACACACACACACACACACACACACATATATTTTAATCCGTGCTTTTACATTTTGTTATGAAAACAGTCTAGGTGAATAAAGTCCACAAGATTCCCCCCCCAGGAGCTGGAAGACAACAGGAACTTTCTGTGTTTATTTTATATACTTCGGCATTGTTTGTACTTCTCAGAATGAAAGTTTGACTTTGGTAGCTTAACAAAAAAAAAAAAAAATGAGACTAAAAATATATTTTCCTCCTTTTATTCTGCATGTCTGAGCCATACATCTTATACCCACCATCACCTGACTTATTAGCCTTTTAGCTTTTTTACTTTGCCTGCATGTTTTGTTTTCTGCATCCCAGCATCTCAGCTGTACAAGACACATGCCATGTGCCTTTATTACATTATTGCAGCTATAAATAAAATAGAAAGAATTTTTGATTTGTAATCTGTTCTCCAAAGAGCAGTTTTGTTTCTGTGATAACTGTGGAAAGTGTTAATTGCTCAAAGAAGTCAAACTTCAAAAAAAAAGAACATCTTTAAGTTTAAATTCACTATTGCTTTAGTAAAGATATATTTGGAACCCTTAAATATAAATATGGTCAACATTCCAAATGATATCATTTCAAGTAACTATTACTTTTTGAAATATGTGACTCTGCTACTTTTAACAAAGAAATGAAAATGGTATTGTTCATATAAACTAAGCTGGGCATGGTGGCGCACACCTTTAATCCCAGCACTCGGGAGGCAGAGGCAGGCGGATCTCTGTGAGTTCCAGGCCAGCCTGGTCTACATAGAGAGTTCCAGGACAGCTGGGGCTACAGGGAGACCCTGTCAAGAAAAAAAAGCCCTAAAAACTGTGAGAGGTAGAGTGAATATTAAGATAATTTAAAGTTGGGGCTGGAGAGATAGCACAGTGGTTAAGAGTGGTTATCAGTCTTGCAGAAGACCCAAGTTGCCAGTGAGGCTCATCACCACCACCTGTAACTCCAGCTCCAGGGTATCTGACACCTCTAGCTCTGAGGCATCTGTATTCACATGCACATACCCACATGCAGGGGGGTAGGGAGAGAAATTAAAAATAATAAAAATAAGGGCTGGAGAGATGGCTCAGTGGTTAAGAGCACTGGCTGCTCTTGCAGAAGACCTGGGTTCAAATCCCAGAACCCTCATGGTGGGTCCATGACTCCAGTTCCAGGGGATCCGACACCCTCTTCTGTCCTCCGCAGGCATTGCACGACACAACACTGGTACACTTACATACATGCAGGCATAACACTCATGCACATAAAAAACTCAATCAAAAAAAGTTAATAAAAAGAAATCTTTAAAAAAATAATAATTTAAGCAATCAGCAAAATATATTTCAGGTATAGTTTGTTTAATATAATTCCCAAATTTTATATGGTGATTTCAAAGAAAATAAATGACCGAGATTACTTAAGGATATTATTTTTTTAGTACTATTTTTACACAAAATACATTTTGATATTATTTGTCTATGACCATTAAAATTAAACTTTCAGAATACAAGTTAGAGCAGTGCTAGTGACCCAAAGCAGCATTCTGGCATCAGGGAACTGTGACACAAATTCTAATTATGTGGCGTTAGCTCAGCACACAAAGTCAGCATGCACAGGACGGCAGGAGTCTAAACTGCAAGGCATGGCCACCTGGCCCATTTAACGAAGTACGGCAAGTGGTCGAGCAGACTGAACGTGTAGAAGGAGTAGCGAGTGATCTCGGTCACTGTCCATGAGACCAGAAAAAGCACCACGCTCTCCTCGTTCTGGATCTGCAGAATCAGAGAATCCCAGTGTTGTTCAAACTTCAACTTATTTTTCAGTGATAGAAGCATTTTTTTAAATTATTTGCTGCCTTTGATTATAATGGAATATAGGAAACAATGCAGTCACCATTATGTTATCAGTTATAAACATGGAACTTAAATGTGTCCTACGTATAGCGTGGCCAATTACTGATTTTTTTTTCTCCCTCCTTCCTCAATCCACTCAGTAACCTCACCAACCCAAGACAAAGTCACCCCCGTGAAAGCTGAATGGGACAATCCGACCTCCCAACTTTCTGTTAGTCATCGAATCATGCAAACTCTACTAGAATAGCTCTATAGTATGTCCACTCATCTTTGTCCATACCTCTCCTGTTTTAACTCAGAGTCTTACCTAGATTTCGATAGACTATAGAAATATTTTCAAATAGTTTTTCCTCTCTTTATTCTTCTCATGGAGGAAAGTTTCTTTTAAAAATAAAGCAAAATTTTTTTTTGAAATCAGCTAAGTCTTATCATTCAAAAATTAAATCGGTCTCTCATTGCAGCAGGCTAAAAGGTTAAATCCTAACACGTGAACATGATGCCAAGGTCTTGCAATCTGAGCTCAGAAATCTCTACAGCTTTATCTACAATGGCTCTACCCTCTACTTCTCACTCTGGTGTTGCTATACTGTGTGTTATTTCTAGAATATGCTCAGAACATCTGTGTATTTACACATGCTGTTCACTCTAATGAGAATTGCAGTTTCCATACAAAATCCCTTCTCATCTTTTCAGACATAGCTAAAAATCTGTTTTCTGTGGAAAACTTTCCTGTTAATAGTTTGAATCTGAAATGTCCTTCACAGACTCATGGTGAACATCCCTAGTTGGTGACACTGTTTGGAAAGGTGGTGGAAACGTCAGAAGGTGGGGCCTACCTGGAGGACACAGGTCACTGGGGGTAGGCCTTTGTAGGATACACTTCATCTCTGGTTTCTTCCTCCCTCCGTCTCCTGTCTACTGTGAGGCAAGTAACCTCTACCACATTCCTGTCACCGTGATGTTCTGCCTCTCCAGGGGGCCCTAATCAATGGAGCCAAGGCCTACATACTGATCCTCTAAAATCATGAGCTAAAATAAATCTCTTCAAGCTGAGTGTGGTGGCACACGCCTTTAATCCCAGCACTCAGGAGGCAGAGGCAGGTGGATCTCTGAGATTGAGGCCAACCTGGTCTATAAAGGGAACTACAGGCCAGCAGGGGCTGCTAGGAAACCTTGTCAATTGATCAATCAATCAATCAATCAATCAATCAATAGACAGATAGGCAGATCTCTTTACCCTTAAGTGTTCATGTCAGATACACTGTTGTCACACTGGCTCCATCTAACACACTTACCAAACCTCTCTCGCCTGACCGCTACTTGCTCACCTTCCTTGTTCTAACACTACTCTGTTCTATTAACACTCACTAAACTGAATTAAATCTGACTACTACTGCAATGCACTCTGTGCTCTTATCTCAGAGTACTCAACACTAATGTAACTAAGTCAGCATTTGTATAACTACTCCTTTAGCTTCTCTCTTGATTACCAGCTCCACGGGGTGAGAACCATATCGGTACTATTAAGAGCCATATCCTGAGCACAGTGTCCAGCACAGAACAGCTACACAGCGGGTACCTCCTGCATGACCAACACTTCCTAACATCCGGCACAGCAACAGCCATATTCACATCTATAAATCCAGGAATTAGGACTCTGCTAAGTGAATAGAATGTGTTCGGTAAACGTCGGTTGGCTTAATTAAAGAGTTGCTGATAAGTGCCAATGGGAAGCTATTGTTGGATAAACTCCAACAGTACAATCAAGGGGCCGAGCCTCTGAGGATAAAAAGAACAAAAGGCTCTTTTTCCTCTTAGGAACTCCACTTTGCCAAGCTGCTCTTTAATGCTTCCCTCTAGTTAATGTGGGCCACCCCTGCCGTCCTTCTTTCCCTCCTTCAGATTTGGGAATCACTACTCTTTTATCCTGTCAGTGTGGTAGTCCTGTTTTAAGCCAGGAAGCAATCTTAATAAAATGTCTGGCTCTCTGTGAGGCATGAGCTCATTACTATCTGAACTGCAGTCCTGGTTAGAGACAGGTGGTTCAAGTCAGTCTCAGGAAAGGATCCCAGTTAAAAGATCTAAAGTGTAGAGTAGTAAAAGGGCACAAGGTCAGTGATCTGTCCCCACGTAGACAGGAGGCCAGTGAGGCTCAGAGGAAATGGAGAGGAGGTTAGGTGCCAGTCCTAAAGCATAGAGGAAACCAGAAAGGCATCTGCGGAACGGAAACGGGGCCAGAGATCTGCCCTCAAGTGGATATGAGTCTACGGAGGCTGTCGGGAAGGTCAGAAGGATTAAGCCGGGAAATGTTTCTGACATGGGTTTAAAAGACCCAGTATCCTCAGAGACTTGCATGGTGTTTGTTTTGTCTACATGATTTAACCCTTTAATTAGATTCAGTGATTGTGTCGCCTGTCATGCCTCCAAAAATAATGTCCTACTTTTCTCTAAGTATCTCAACCCTAACTTTCAAAAATTATTTTTAATTAGCAAATTAAAACTATACATACTTATGGTGCACAACATGATATTTTGAATATGTATGCATTATGCAATGGCTAAATGAAACTAATTAACACACACTTTGCCTTGACATAGTTCTCATTTATTTGTGGTGAGAACACTAAAATTCACTCTCAACAATTTTCAAGTACAAACTGTTGTCAGCTGTAGTTACCATGTTGCATGACAGCTCTCTTGAACTTATTCTTCTTGTCTAAGATTTTGTGTCTTTTGATTTAAAAATTACAACTTCTCTATTTCTTATTTCCTCAGATGTACAGAAAGCATTTACTTTTTGCCTATTGCTATAATGCTTATTACTAAACAAAAAAATAAACCAAATGAGTTGTTTACACTGACAACTTCAATGGTTTAAAAAAAAATATGCTGGGCGTGGTGGTGCACGCCTTTAATCCCAGCACTCGGGAGGCAGAGACAGGCAGATCTCTGTGAGTTCAAGGCCAGCCTGGTCTACATAGTGAGTTCCAGGACAGCTGGGGCTACAGGGAGACCCTGTCTCAAAAAGACCAAAAAAAAAAAAAAAATACAGGTTGAGAAGAAACCTCAATAGAAAAGACCATTTTCAGTTTGACGGTAATGAGTGCTCACCCGAGAAGCCAGAAAATCCAGGAGAACACATTGTGAATATAAAATGCCTGCACTATCTCTATGTATAGTGACAATTAGATTCAAGCCCACCTCCTTTCTACTCCTCCTGCTTCCTGAAATAGTCCAGTGTTACTACTTTGGATTTCTTTTAATGCTTCCCAATGGTTCAAAGAGACCACACGTTTGCATCACTTACTGGTTTTATGCTGTGAGTAATGAGCCACACCATGAAGATTCTTGAACTCACTTGGACCCCAGTCACAAGTACAGATGTAGGAACAATTCCTTGAAGAGAAAAACAAGTCAACTATAGCCTCCAAGGCAATTTATAATAATAGTATAAAATTAAAGCAAAAACTTACCAATTATACAGTGGACTATCTGTAAGGAAGTTAAGAAATCACAAGTCAAAATATAAAACATTAAATACCCATTAGCAATGGTATTAAACAAATCCATAAGATGCTATATAATTAGCAAATTAAGACTGACATGGTTTAACAAAAATATTTCCAAATAAGCATTAAAACAAAGAATAACATGTTGAAAAACTTACCTCGATCAAAGCAACTGTTTGGAAAAATTTAAGTGTCTTCTGAATGCTTTTATATAAACCTCTGTGTGTTCCTTTTTCCATATAAAATCGTACCATGGCAATAGCTAGAACCAACCACCTAGGGAAAATAAAAGTATTTTACAATGTTCTATTAAAATTAATATACTGATTTGCACACACACTTATAGCAGCATTATTCACTATTAGCATTAGCTAGAGTAGAAGCGACCAAGGTACCCAGCACTGACTGAAGAGTACATCTAATGTGGCCTATATGAACTTTGATTCTGTTTCAAAGGCATTCTACCACAGCACTAGGTCAATGTATGGTGACACTGAAATTCAAGCCCACCTCCTTTCCATTGATTCTGCTTCCTGAAATACACCAGTGTTAATAGTTCCCATTCATGAGAAGCTTTCCTGAAGGCTCAGAAAATTACTCAGTCTTAAAAAGGAACTTCCAGTACATGCTATGACATGGATGGGCCCTGGAGACATTAGGCTGGGGGAAACAAGCAGTCAGAGAAAGGCAAACACCATATTTCATTTATATGAGGTGCCCAGAGTGACCCAATTCACTGACATGAAAAGAATCGTGGTTGCCAAGGGATAGCACAAGGGGGCAATAGAGTTAGTGTTCCATGGGGACAGAGTTTCAGTTTTGCAGAATGAAGGGATGTGAGTGACTATGGTGGTTACATACCTTGTGAATGCCATGGAACTGTATGTTACAAAGTTTAACATCATGTGTGTTTACACCAATTTAAAAAAAAATCACTTCTTGGGGCTGGAGAGATGGCTCGGCAGTTAAGAGCACTGACTGCTCCTGCAGTGGACCTGGGTTCGATTCCCAGCACCCACATGGTGGCTACGAACCGTCCTTAACTCCAGTTTCAGAGAAATCCAAAGCCCTCTTCTGACCTCCGCGGCATTGCACGACATGGGTACACTCACATACATACATGCAGGCACTCATACACATAAAAATAAAATATTTTTTAAAAAATCACTTCTTGAAAAGAAATGCCACAAACAGTAATATTTGTGTTTTATTACACTCTTAGTTCATTATTCTATTAAAAATGAAAGTAGCTTACGGGGTTAAAGAAAAATGGTACTTTTATTGATTCTCCAAAAAGGAACAGAACACACCAAAGGGGCCAACTACGGACACAACACTGCCCAGGATATTTTTGCTTTCAGCACATAAACTGATAGACTAAAGAAACTAACCGAATGTATCAAAAATGAGATTACCAGAGTATCTAGTAATTACATGAAGGTATCAAGATAAAAAGCTGTCAAAAGTTGTATGTATGTAGTCTATAATTGCATGTAGAAATCTTTAATAACAATCATTTACTAACTACTAATTTTCACTAAATAAAAACAACTGCTGTGCTATAGAAGAGATACATACAGAATATCAGATACAGGTCAGCTTTCAAAGAGTTGATTTTTTAAAAAGAAAATAAAATTAGCATATACCATTACTTTTGTATTTACGTATGTATGTTAAATACACATTCACTTCCACGAATTCACACTACTCAAAATACAAGCCACCCCACTATGGACAGCAGCTTTCTGATACATCCTTCACACTCTTCCTACAGTCATGGTGAGAGCTAACTTTTTCCTGGTTTCCCTCTCAGGTCAAAGTATGTGCTCAAGTAAGAAAGTCAGTTCATCGATAGCTTTAAAAAACTTGAACATTCACCCATGGAGAAGGGTAGCTACTTTAAACTTTAAAATAGGGAGGTACAAAAAAAAATGTCTAGTTAAGCAGATTTCTGAAAATATAATTATTATAGTTTAACTAAACAACATACCACAGACAAGTGTTTAAAAGGGTCCCTCCAAAGACATTAGTAATGACTATGGAGACAATGCGAGCTTGAGGGCATAGCAGAGAACAGCACTGTGGACACACTCCTCTTCAGCACATGCAGCACTAAGAGCAATGGCTCTCCTGAATCTAAGCAGCAGCTAGGCAAGTGTCTGAAACCATCAGGCTTCAGAAAGGATCACGACAATGGTAGCAGGCCTGCAGATTGCTTTCTATGTTCCAGACGCTGTGGTGCATATTAATTCATATTGAAATAACATTGTAAAAGTCATAGGGAGAGACTGCTCAAATATTGTGACAATAGTATGCTTTCAAAAAGGTTTGCAAGCTGCTCTTTCAGAAGAGACAAGACCATCCAGGCAGGTTAGTTTACAAAGCCAATGGCTGAGGACCCAGCTCAGTGATGGACTGCCTGCCTAGCATGTGTGCGGCTTTAGACTCAATCCCCAGATCTGCAAAAGAGTTCCTGAATTTGTCTTAAAGGAAGACACAGGACAAGGCTGGAACAGAACTTCTAAGGTGCCCAAACCTTGGTCCCACTGCACACAGCTCTCTCTCATTCTGTTCACAACTCCATCTTTTGTGAGAGCCACTGCTAAAGTCAGGGCTGAGCTCATCTCAAAGTGCTCAACTGTGTTTTAGGTACCTTCCTAGCTTAAAACGTAATTGTATTGACCTCAATTCAAGCTTCTGCACTTACGATAAGAAAACAAAAAGTTTAGTGAAGGTGTTTTCACTCACATTTTCCATATGCCTGCCTTTTTGTAGACAGACACAAGTTACACCTGTAAAAGTTAATTTCAGAGACAATTACAGACCTAACAAAGAACTCATGAAGGGATTAATTTAAAAGTCCTCTGACATTTTTTAATTGCATTACACAAAGATGCACGTGTTGCAGGATTTCAAGCTTCACCATCGCTCCATAGGTGGCAGTACTATGCAGGTCACAGCATCATGATGTGCCTGAACCACACGGTTCAAAACCATTTAACACACTTTGGACTTAAAGAACCACCACAACATTTACTCTGATCCCTTGGCCTTTTCAGTAAATAAGACCAGACCCACTACAAACTAATCAAAGCTCACTTCTTTAGCACTGGATACCAAAAAGCTTCTCTAAGGGCTAACTTTGAACATCAGTTTAGTAATTTGTAAAAAAAATAAAAATAAATTTAAAAATCCATAAGCAACTGGAATTAGGAACTAGTTTCTAGCATGTTCTATTTTGTTTGTTTTTAAATGTGCTAGGGGTGTTGCATAAATGAACCTAAATAGACAGTTTGTCCTTGATAAGCCTGACTCTCAAACTGGGAGGGGTGGCACACACCTGTAAGTCCAGCATTCAGGAGGCAGAGGCAAGAGCTCTGCAGTTCAAGGCCAGTTTGTTGTACATAGTGAGTTCCAGGTCAGCCAGGACTATACAGTGACTCCCTAAAAGAAACAAACAAATCCACCACATTTTCTTTGAGGGGAAAAAAAAAAAAAAAGGTGTTTCATACACAGAGGATTTGTGCTTGCCTTGCTTACTCATCTTTCAGGTTCAACATTTATTGCTAAGCAAGGTACTAAGCTAGATGCTGGGGACAGGATTTCTTTACTTCAGGGAACTAAATTAGCAAGTAAAGGTTAGCGTGCTAAACAAGAAACATACGCCACAGCCCTCCCAACCAAAGGGCCTTGTTATGCTACCATGGCTACGAGGACGGTGGGAAACCTGAGTCTGTCTCTAGCTCCTTCCCAATGCTTCTTTCTCTTCTAGATTTCTTACACACAATGCCTGCTACTCGAAATACTTGGTCATCTACATTCATATCTTTAAAAAAAACTGCCTTTACAATGTTTATTGTAAGCAATTTCAAACATACAAAATTATAGAGAATGGTAAAATGGTCCCACTATATGCTCACTACCCAAACTTAACAATTACCATTTTATGGTCAATCTTGTTTCATCCAAACCCATTCCCCCAATTATTTCCAATCAGATCCATGATACTCTCTAACACATTCACAAGTGTTTCTTTATTCAAGAAAATGAAAGCATAGATCCACACACAGTCTTGTACATGAATGTTCACATTTTCATTTATAATTGCTCCAAACTGGAAATATCTGTAGAAAAACCAATTGTGATAGATCCATTTACTCAATCTACTGTCCTCGGCAATCAAAAGTATCTAAAAGATATGGTATACTGGACGGCTTTAGTTATCAACTTGACACACCTGGGTAGAGGGAGCTTCAATTGGGGAACTGCCTCCACTGGTCTGGCCTGTGGCTGTGTTTTGGGAGCACTTTCTTGACCGCTGAGTGATGTGCCATTCCTGGGCAGGTGGCCTGTACTGTGTAAGAAAGCAGTTAAGCAGGGGCCAGGAGACCAAGCCCATTCCTCTATGGCCTGCGCTCCAGCTCCTGCCTCCAGGTTGCTGCCCTGAGTTCCTACCTTGGGATCCCTCAGTGATGAACTGTGACCCAGGAGATGTAAGATAAAATAAACCCTTTCCTTCCCAAGTTGGCACTGGTGAGTGTTTTGTCACAGCAATTGAAGGCAAACTAGAACATATGGCTATTAACATTTTGAGAAATGAACTTGAGTTTATTGTTCTACTAGGCACATTAGGTACACTGTGAAAACACCTTAAATAGTTTCTCTTTTGCAAGAAGTGTTATTTTAAATTAGCCACTAGGTATTACAGTAATTCATTAGCATTTTAAGCATCCACTCTAGCTCAAGCACTGCTGCTAAGACTTGGTGTCTATTACCTCTTTACTCATTGTGATAATCTAACAAAATAGTTGTGCTGTTCCCGTTTTACAGAAGAGAAAACTAAGGTTCAGAAAGGTCAAATAACTTCTGCAAGTTTACCAAATACAGAACAGTAAGACAGAACATTGAATCAACACTTTCTTGTATTGTACAAAATCAAATCCACGACGTCAGCAAGGCATCCAAGGCACCTTGCAATGGGTGGGCCGACCCGCCGTCTACCTGCACTCCAGGCCATTGCTGCGTACCTAGTGGCCCCCAACCTCACATCTCTGCACTAACACATGCTGTGTCCTCATCATGTCTATTCTTTGATGATCTGCTCAAATATTGTCTCCTTCACAAAGTTTTCTCTCAATCTCCCTCCCTCAGTCCTCCAACACCTATGTAGTGTGCACATACCCTATTTTATCTTTATTGCAAATACATATATATATATATATATTCATACATACCCCCAGGTTATGCTTCTTCAAGGATGAGCCTGGAATATTTATCTTATGTCCCACACTGACCAAGGGCAATACACTATCATCTATGGGCTCAAAAGTGTGTGTTGAAAAGCAAGGCAGAGATGTTCATGTCCCTAGTCAAGAAATCCTTACATCGAGGGTGCTGTTCTCGTAATTTATCTAAAGCCATTAATTCCACACAAATAAATTAAAGCTGCCTCCGGGGCATAATTTAACCTGTGATTATACATCTCTACACAGTTTTATATAGCAATAAAAAGCATAATTATGAAATTTAGATACTTAAAATATTAAGTGAAAACAGCTTATACAGTAGAGCAGATATTCAAAAACAATGCTCCGTGATATATTCATTCAGTATGTATTTATTACAATGAAGAAGTAGTAAAATATATGGTATGGTTTAATGGCAGTAAGTGGGATGGAGAAAAATCAGGCAGGCAAGGTGTGCTAGAACGTCGATGAAGACACTCAGGTAAAGTGTCCCCGAGGATGGAGATTTGAGTAAAAGCTTGAAGGAAATTAGACACTTAAATGGCAGTAAGGGAACTGGACGATCATAGACCCTAGGCTTATAGAACTGCAGGAGTTCTTCCATCTTGTCACCGGCCCTGATGAAAACCACATGGGGCCTACTCAGTGCTAGCAGACAGATAAATCTGAGATAAGCACCGGTTCACTGGAAAAGGGAAGAGTGGGAGTGAAGTGTGAAAAAAAGAAGGAGGTATTTTAGCAGAGTTCCAACAGGCTGACTTGTCATGAGAACAAGGTTGACACTCTAGGAAGAGGGAACGGGCTGTGCAAGGATGTGAAATGCACACTGCTTGAGAAACAGTGGGTCCGGGATTTCAAACGCAAGGAAACTGGAAAGGGGAATTGGGGAGTATGTTGTAAACGCCTTAGTTGATATCCCTAAATCCCTTAGCATAGGAGGGAAATAGGGTCATTGGGGTTATCTTTTACTTTACTTCTTTTCACTGAAGATTTTATACTGGTCTGGGTAGCAATTTTCGTATTTGAAATAGTCACATGCCCTTCAAAATGGGAGAGTGGATTGAACAGGGAAGGGGTGGCCAACCAACTAGCACAGGGAAGGTATTCCAAAATTGTTTATTAACTGAATGGGACTATCCCAGGTCGATCAGCCCCCACTACACGGAAGGCAGCAGTGCACGGCGGGACTAAACTGTCCTCCATCTGTGTGTTTTCTCTCCTTTCAAAGATTATGGAATTCAGTACAGTAAGACAGTTGCAAGCTCTTGGACCGGGCAGTCAGGGTGGACATCCATGTCTGACACTTGCTGGCTGTGATCTGAAGCCAGTGACTTAAGTTCTCCCTGTGCCTCACTTTTCTAATCTAGTAAAATGGAGTCCTTACCCCTCACAGGATTTCGGAGAACTAAAAATGGGATGCTGCGTCTTAAAGAAACAGCTCAGTCCCTGCCACAAAGTAAATCCTCAATCAGTACGTACTGTGTTATTCAGTATCATAAGAACATAATAATGTTTAGTACTGGAACATTTATTAAACACACAGCTCACGTTTCTCCACACTTCATCTTAGCTAAGGGGTCTATTCAATCACACGTTTTCTATAAGCCAAGGAGAAAATTTAAAATATTAAAGTTTTCCTCACATTTATCTAAGTTAATAATACTTTCCTGGGATGGCTGGAAAGTAACTTTTATAAAGGCAATAGAGCAAAGAAGCACATTTCGTGATAGGTGGAGCAGTGGGCTTAGGAGTCACTGGACAGCTCTCTGAAGACTGGCACCACTGCATCGCCCTAACTTCTAAGCCCACATATCCAGAGACAAAGCGCAGGGGATCAGGAACCCGAGGCCATTAGGATGCTGGACTGGACGGCTAGGCCCGGATCAGGCAAGGCTTTAAAAACAGAAGTCCAGAGTAGGCAGCGCTGGGCACTGAGTAAAAAGCTGATCGCAGGCGGCCCGCGTGCACGGCCAGAGTGCAAGATCCGTGTGTACGGCCGGAGTGCATGGTCATTGTGCAGGATCCGTGTGCACAGCAGGAGTGTAGGACCGGTGTGCACGGCCGGTGTGCACGGCCCGCGCGGGCAATTCTTCAACAGCAGCGGGACTCGGCGGCGGTGACCCCGGGCTGCCCGGCCCGGCATTCCTGCCCCGGTCTATACTTAACCTCCGGCCCGCGGCCACCGCGCCCCACTGTGCACCGTATTAGGCAATGCCCGGGAGCCGCGGCCCGCCGCCCCGCCCCGCTCCATTCAACACCAGGAACACCCCCGAGCGGCCCCGCCGTATTCCCGACCCCGCGGCCCCCAGGCTCCCCGCGAGCGCTCCGCGTCCCCAGGGCGCGTCGGCCGCGCAGCCCTCCCCCGGCACTCGTACCCCGCGGTCATGGCGATGTTGTAGAAGGTGAGCCAGGCGGTGGCCGCGAGGCCCAGGCGTCTCCGCCGGCCGCTGGGCTCCTTCTCGTCTCCGGCCTCGGACGCGCCGCCGTTGGTGCCGTCCTCCTCGCTGGACGCCATGGGGGCCGCGCAGCGGGCCTCGGACAGGGCCAGGGGGGGCGGACTGCGCCCCGCGGAGCGCGCCTCGGAAGCTCCGCCGCCGGCAGCCCCCGCCTCGGCCCAGCACCCCACGTGCCGCACGCCGGG